TGGTGAGTAACTAATTTAGCTCACAAATGGTTTAGAATGAAATAGTTTGTACTTTATATCATTTAAGTAGTGTAATAGCTTACAAAACTATGAGGACTGATCAACCCATAATCTTATATAGCCATAACTTATATTGCCTATCGTCAGTCCTTTCTGGGTATTGGCTCAATATCAACTCGAGTGCCCGGACTCCTCTGCAGTCCGACACTCGTCATCTATATATCTTACACTACTTTAATGCTCTTGTTCTATTGGTGTCTATTTACAGCCTTCATATCTATAAAACCAATATCACAAGACACACAGCACTGGTATCACATCCTGAAACTAACCCCGCATGCACCTGAGTCATCCCACATGACTAACTACTACACGTGGACACCACACACATTACAATATTTATAATATATATATATATATATATATCTCTCTCTCTCTTCTACAAATTACCATACCTTGTTATCAGCTCGGCCAAAGCACAGATCTATGCCGCCAATGAAGGCTAAGGACTGGTCAATGCACACAATCTTCTCGTGATGTGCCCACAGCCATACCCCATCGGGCGGGTGATCAGGATGGCGTTGCACGGAGATGCTCTTGCTGAGCGACTTGAGTTTGTTCTTAGAATACACACTGTATAAAGAAGCATAGAAGGTGTTGTTCTATGAGGAGAGTTTGTTTATTATAGATCCAATAACAGGTTGGTCAAACTAGTAGGGCGGGTTGTGACCCGATATGTCATATGAGGAAGAGGTGTGGTTGTTTTGGGCTTGGACTGTTTTGTGTTTGGAGGACTAGTGAGTAGTGATATGAGGATATGTGCATAGTGAGAGGAATGAATATCTTTTCGGGAGACATGACGCGTAGATTTGGGGGCTTAGGTGATTATTTATACACTAAACGAGAATTGAGAAAGTCGTATTGGAATAGGGCTTTGTTGAGAGGCTTGAATTTGTACTAAGAAACTCTCACTGTCTTCTGAATCAGTGGGGGAGAAGGATGATTGAGATATTAAGAGATCTTAAACGTATACCCACAGCAGCAATAGACTGGACAACACTACACAGGTACACACACCACTGCATCAGAGGAAGATTCTGCAGCTGACCATTCTTCATTACACAGCTAAAGCACGGATACACTCCACAACTAACTACACTCGCGCATACAGCCACATCACGACAACTACAACCAGCCCCAAACCAATAAGACTACTTCAGCACAAACAGGCTCTACAGCTGACCATTCTTCAGTACACAGCTACAACACGAACAAACTCTTCAGACTCATACTCGTACATATATATACGACACTGCGCAACTACGCGCGTATATATAACAATAAGTCAAATAGCACGCCACACATCAACTGCAGCATACAACGTCACTAATGAAAGTTGAACCCCCAACACACAAACCTGTTGATACCCACGGCTAGCTCCACATTCTTGTACATGATCACACAGATCTTGACCCCCTCAGCTGCCTTTTTCTCCAAAACACTGCCAGAGGTTTTGGAATAAAGGAATAGATTCAGATAAAATGGCAGAAAAAGTAGGAAAAAAAATAAAGCATATATGCGTCATATTTAGAAGAGCGGCATATTGGCCATACAAAGGTACAGTACAAATCAACACACTTAGGTAGTGCAGTAACATTAAAATCATAGTCTAGCCCCGTATACAACTCTACCAACTTTCGAGACGTGTAATAATCACTATGTCGGGGTGTGGCGTTGGGTTGCTTGGTATCGTTCGCGTCTCATGATATCAATAAACCCACAAACGTACATACACAC